TTTAGTATTAATGAAGTACCCAATGTAAAGATTATTACAAATATTGTAAATAGCGCCATCTAGTATTTATAGACCAACCTACTACACTGACTTTGGTTTATAAATACGGAGGTCGGTAGTTGAATAATCCTCTTTCGTTGCGTTAGCCGCGGCATTCAGTCGACGAGCGCAGAGCGTGCCAGTTGTGTTTTGGATACAAAAGTGAATTGTATTAGAAATGGGTTTATCCCGGTCTTAGTTGGGCCTGGGGGGAAGCTGCAAGTAGTGAAGGTGAGTGTTAATGCATTCTAAAAGGGCCTTTTAAACCTACACCCGTGTCACAAGTCACGGGTGCTACTTGAGGTTTCCCTTGCGGTAGCCGGCTTCAAAGCCTCAGTCGTCCATCATAATTAGTGCTTCTTACATTAGAGACAAATTTATTTACATATTTTATTATTATTTCTTATGTATGTTAGTCTATAAGGTATTATGGTAATATGGGCCATGTAGCCTGAATTACATAAATAAATAACATTAATATTAACTCTTAAATATCATAAATATTTAATTATCTAACGTTAGCTTTGTAGAATCCCGTATCTGAATAAACATTTGTTATCAAGGACAGTAAATGTTACCTGCCCTTATCAGGCGGGCGTTGATAACAGTCGCAGTAGATTTAGACTATTCTAGTTACATCTCCAACATATAGGTAGATAGTGCTAAGAATAAATTGAAAAAAAAATTTATATCGGTCGTATATATTACTAGCTGTACACGCGACTTCGTCCGCGTGGAATTTTACTTTATTTTTCTAAAATAAAAGTAGTCTAAGTTACACCTTATTACATCAGGTACCTGCCAATAAAAGTCACAACAAAATCGGTCCAGTCATTTTAGAGATTAGCCGAAACGAACAGACAGACAGACAGACAAAAACTGTAAAAAATGTTATTTTGGTGTATGTACCGTATTTATATTCATATGCATGTAGTAAAAAACGGTTACTTCAATATTACAACAAGACACTCCAATTTTTTTTATGTGTAGATAAATATATATACATCTGGACACGCGGCAGCGTGTCAAAGCAGAGTTTCAAGTAAAAGAACTGGCGAGCAGCACCGTGTGTATATTTACACGAACCATTTGGAGCCACTTTTGACCCCCTCATAACTCAAAAACTCTTTCACACAAACCTGTCAAATTTGGTTCATATATAGAGACTTGCGAGATAAATATGTGTTCCAAATTTCATAAACATATCTCAAACGGTTATTTAGATATTAACGTCCAAATATCGTCATTTTTATCACTGATCAACTATAGATCAAAATTATAACCCACTTCCAGATGACCTAGGAAGTTCAAATTTGGCATGCAGATAGGTAATTAGGTGAATATAAAGGAAAAAATCTGAAACTGGCAAATTGTTATCATTTTATTATAATTTTTCACTTTAATTGATTAACATTACAGAATATGCATATTACTGACTGTCTCGGTGATTCAATGGTTTAGTACACTAACTTATTAGTCGCGAGTTTGATTCCTCGCACGGTATAAACATTTGTATTTACTTTTATAATTGTTTGTATCGATCTGGTGTGTTTTCTATGTATATATTTTTTCTTATGATAATGGAATGGTGCATCCGCCTGCGCTAATGGTTTACGCTGGCGGGGCACCAGTGGAGGATGATAAGATGAGCATGAGGTCAGGTTAGTTAGTACATCGTGGTAAATTCACGAGGAATTTATCACGGTGGTTTCCAGGGGGAACCGCGTGGAGGTCAACCTAACATGGTACATTGATAGTAATGCGGTTATTAGTCCACATTTATGAGAATCCCCTTTCACCCACATATATGTATATTTCACCCACATATATGTATATTGAATAGATAAAAAAATAGATAAAAAATATCTGTGTATTTATATCAGTTGTCTAGTACCCATAACACAAGCTCTACTTACCTTGGTACTAGATGGAGATGTGTGAATGTCCTGGGTTATCTAAGTATATATAACTCAAAGGTGACTGACATAGTAATCTATCAATTTCAAACCGATCGGGCTGAGACTTTGCATGCATAAAGCTACTATGACGTAGGCATCCCCTAAGAAAGGATTTTGATGAATTCCACCCCTAAGAGGATAAATTAACGCGAACGAAGCCGCGTGCAAAAGCTAATTTTTTTTATAATTCAAACCAGAAACTCTTGAGATAGTACTAACTCAGATGACAGTGGAGTCAATTTATTGGAGAGTTGTGTAATGATAAGAGAAACTAATATATTTTTATCTCACGATTGTCCCATCAACGTCCTCCTTATCAGTACGGACACCATGCCTTATCAATAGATATGAAAATAACGATTGAAACGTGGAAAGATTTGTGGCTTTGCATTTAAAGATATCTGTTATATTACAATATTTTTAATATTAATATAAATAACTAGAAGAAAGGCGTTAATTCTTTTTTGGTTAAAACACATTATCCTTAACTACTCGCCCCGGGTTCGCCCGGGTGTACATGTATTATATATATAAACCTTCTTCTTGAATCACTCTTATCTATTAAAAAAACTACTTCAGAATTCGTTGCGTAGTTTTAATGATTTGAGCATACATAGATACCTGTTTTACTTCGTCGGGATCCATGACGGTACAACACAGTATTTTACATATTTTTATTTATGTATAACTTAACTGAAGTCCTGAGGTCATAGGGATAGAGAACTGAAGTCATAGGGACAGACAGACGGCGAGTTTATTTTATAATATGTAATCTTATATATAAAATTCTCGTGTCAAAGTTTTCGTTCCCATACTCCTCCGAAACGGCTTGACCGATTCGCATGAAATTTTGTGAGCGTATTGAGTAGGTCTGAGAATCGGCCAACATCTATTTTTCATCCCCCTTAATGTTAGGGGTAGTCCACCCCTAATTTTTTATTTTTATTTTAAGGCAAAACAACGTTTCCCAGGACAGTTAGTGATAATATAATCATAATAAACTCAGGACAATTCACACAGCGCCATCTAGACCCAAGTTAAGCTAACTAAAGCTTGTGTCATGAGTACTAGATAACTGATACAAATTCAATAGATTTTTTTTTATTTCGTAAATACATACATATAATACATAGAAAACACCTAGACCGATACAAACAATCATACTCATGAATACAAATGCTTGTGCCGTGCGAGAAATCGAACCCGCGACCACCGAGGTCGTATATACTAACTATCAGACCCGGCCACACGTTGCTGTGGCTAAGGTTCTTGAATAAAATAATATTGCGACTATAAATTGAGTTTATAATACAATTTTAAGAAGATTTTGTCAGAAATTGAAATTAACCCAATTGTGAAGTGTAAACGAAAGTGCATTTTCCGTCCCTTTCTATAGTAGCTCTATCTCGCTTTATTACTTTCACTTGTCTACTACGTAATATCTTAGCTTGTTATGGACCTACGTGTTGTAACACTGAATTCATTTTTATACAGTTGCTTATATCTGCGTAACTTTTTAAAGTTCTATAATACTGTTGTTATAATATTAATAATAATCTCAGGACAATTCACACAGCGCCATCCAGACACAAGTTAAGCTAGCTAAAGCTTGTGTTATGGGTACTAGATAACTGATACATATTCATAGATTTTTGTTTTGTAAATACATACATATTATACATAGAAAACAACCAGACCGATACAAACAATTATACTCATGAATACAAATGCACTGTGCGAGAAATTGAACCCGCGACCATAGTAAAGTGATGTATTAAACCGCTAAACCACGGAGGCCGTTACAATAATGAATTACCTACTTTTTGACGTATACACAGACAAACGATTATATATACAGACGTAACTCGATCACCATTTCATTTTTAAATGTAATGATATAAACATATCAACAATATGTGTGCAACCTATTGACTCAAGAAAATAATCATGATAATCGGTTTAGTAATATCACACAACGTATTACTATTTTAATTAAATTGAGAATTTCTACCTTTTTAACGATGGTAGAACGTGAAAGAAAGAGAAAAGACATATTTTTTACAGGTCGTAAAAGGGACAAGTTATGTAGAGTCATTAGTGCTTCAATCTTTTTAGCTGTTGATACGACTCTAACTTTTTCCTTAACTTGCTTGATATAGCTGTGTCTCGGTCTTCCCCTTCCTCTCTTTCCATCAATTTTTCTTTCGATAATGTTATTAGAATAGAATAGAATAGAAAATCATTTATTCAAGTAAACTTACATTGAAGCACTTTTGAATAGTCATTACATTTTTTTAATCTACCGCTCATTCGGAAAGCTGTCTCATCACAAGAAGAACGAGCAAGAAACTTGCGTGTTGCTCTTTTAAATAATTTTATTATTACTTTACATTTTTAAGTTTAAGTGTGTGAATACAAACCACCAATTAGCACTAATTCAATTAAATACTCAAATAGATAAAATATTGAATATATAACCAACTGGTTAAACAATTAATAAGAGGAAATTTGTCATAGTGATTAGAGCAGACCAGTCCCTACAAGCAGCACTCGTTCACGAGTATGACGGATGAGCGAGCCATCACAGCGCTCGACCATATTTTAGGGAGCCCAATGACCCGGCCCACCACGCCGCCACAAGTCTGGACATTTTAGTGAGCATGACTACTCAAAACATAATATTATTAATAGTAATTAGATAATGTTGTTAATTAGTTCGTCGTGTCGTATCAAGTGCCCCAACATTATTCCCCGCCTATTCTCAATAATATCTATGATCTGTCTTTTCTTTAACCCTTGCAAGTACTTCTTCATTTCTTATTTTATCTTTAAAAAAAACATAAAGCAATTTATTTTCTGTAAACATTTTAGATATACACATAAAATTCCCAATATAGATAGTAATAGTCATTCTCACAAAAACAAATATCTGTATTGTATTTATATAATTGAATCTGCGGGTCTCGCGAGGGTCAGGTAGTAGAAAATATACGGAGATCAATCATGCGACCATTGCAAAGCGTAGCGCTACACCACCAAGTCAATAAGTACCTAATATATTTTATATATAAAGTTCTCGTGTCACAATGTTAGTTACCATACTCCACCCAAACGGCTTTTATGAAATTTTATATGCATATTCAGTAGGTCTGAGAATCGGCTACTATCTATTTTTCATACCCCTAAGTGGTAAGGGAAATCCACCCCTAAATATATATTTTTTATTTTTTCGACATATTTTATTTTCATTTAAGATTGAAAAATACATACAACCGTAAATTTTCACCCTTCTAGCATCAACCCCAATTTTTTTTAAATTTTATTTTTTGTTTTTTTAATAGCGATTTTAATTTATATGTCAAAACAACGTTTGCGGGATCAGCTAGTAAAATTGTCAACCTAGCATTACTCTTTTAAAACTGTATGTATTAAATATTTCCTCCCTCAAAGAACACAATTAACACGAATATTTGTGAATATTTAAGTGTTAAAATGAAAAAGAAATAGTGTATAGTGTGTGTGCAAACGAGACAACATGCTGTCGAGAGGGATTAAGTACCAGCGGCTGGACGACCTGGATATTGGGTATGTAATTTAAACGATCACAACAATATTTATTAATTATGGTCAAATTTCAAACACTAGGGGACCAGTTGTTTATTATAAAACTATATACATATATTATAAACCGAATTTTATTTTATTTTTCTAAAATAAAAGTAGCCTAAGTTACTCCTTATTACACCAGCTACCTGCCAATAAAACTTCCGTCAAAATCGGTCCAGCCATTTCAGAGATTAGCCCGAACAAACAGACAGACAGACAAAAATTGTAAAAAATGACATTTTGGTGTATGTACCGTATTTATATTCATATGCATGTAGTAAAAAACAGTTATTTCCATATTACAAATATATACTCCAATTTTATTTGTATGTATAGATGTCTTGTTAATTTCTTTGCTTTGTAGATTATATGCGCCAAATAAATATTTTCTTTCTTTCATAGCAAGCACCTTAGTGATAGAATTAGGTGAGTGCATGAACAGTAAGCGTCGATATAAATAGCACTATAAGTATGTCAGTTATTAATTCAGATATTTGACTAGATGTAATGAGAAAATTCCTAACATAGCATCGCTCTCGGCCTCGGCTCAATAAGGGGACGTGTAAAGACGCTGATGTTGTATTGGTTACCCGCGCTTTGTTGTACATAGTTATAGTACTATAGGTTTCATTCGCATGAATATATAGCCTATGTTAATCTGATGTATAAGCTATATTACTGTAAAGTTTCATCAAAATCCGTTAAGTAGTTTTTGCGTAACGGAATAACAAACATGCATCCACACTCACAAACTTTCGAGTTTATCTATACATCTATTCTATACATATAAATAAAATTGGAGTGTCTGTTTGTGATATAGAAATAACCGTTTTTTACTACATGCATGTGAATATAAATACGGTCAAAGCACCAAAAAACCATTTTTTTTTAATTTTTGTCTGTCTGTCGGTCTGTTTGTTCCGGCTAATCTCTGAAATGGCTGGACCGATTTTAACGGGAATTTTTTCGGTAGGTAGCTGATGTAATAAGGAGTAACTTAGACTACTTTTATTTTAGATAAATAAATATAAATTCCACGCGGACTGAGTCGCGGGTGCAGCAGTCAAACCGAAACAAACAATCATACTCATGAACATAAATGTTTGTACCGTGCGAGGAATCAAACACACGACCGTAGGAAGTATGGCGGTGTGCTAAACAGCTACATCACCGAGGCCATAAGTTCTAAACTTACTTTACTAAAGATTTTAATTATTAACGACTGACGTACTGCCTATTAGATTGTAAACACATACTGTTAATGCTCTGTAAAATAAAAATTCTGTAATGCAAGTTAAAGTGTAGAAAATCCACCAAAATATACAAAATACTTCGCCTGGGATATTGCTTGTTATAACCTCAAATAATTAGCACCTTTTTTATCAAGAATTCGGAAGATTTTCAACAATTCAAGAACACTGGTGAGACACTAAATTCCGTTATATTATTCAAATTTGACATAGAAAGTAAACAAAACAATTAATTCGATAATAATTGGATAATTAACAAGATAACAAAATCAGCTGATTGGATATTGTCACTCTCAGTCAAGTGTCAATCAAGAATATTTTTGTCGACCGACTAAACTGTCAATGTCAAAGTGTTGAAATTACAAAAATAAACTTCGTTCGGAAATTGAACTATCTAAGCCGGGTTTCACTCAGATATATTAAATTACCACTTAGGTACATTACCACGGCCACTACCCCTACATATGATATTAAGCTAAAATACTACTTATTGAGACAACTTATTTTCATTAAATATGGCCCCAAAAATAAACTGTGCCGAATGCCACAAAATCATTAAAGATAAACATTTTCTTAAATGCATAAAATGTAAACAATCATATGATCTTAATTGCGCTAAGAAGGAGAAGCTTTATTATATAATGGATAAAAGTCGTAAAGATGACTGGATTTGCATAAATTGTAAAAGAATCACAATATCTGAAAGAAAAACAAGCACCCCGACCCAAAGCAAAAACACTACTGCTTCCTCCAGCTTCAAAAAGGGTTTAATAGTAGCACCCAATGAAACATCCCAGGTAACATTAATACACAACTCCTCTCAATTAGGCAATATTACTACTAGGAAATATAATGTACCAATACAAAATTCATTCGACTCTTTATCTGATGAAAACGATACAGATTGTTCCAATCTCAGGAGTGATACTCTAAACAGAAGCTGTCCGGAAACTAACCTAATTAGAAAGCACGAACTGGAAGATCTCAACAAAAGATTACAGGAATTAGAACAAAAACTTGGTAGCGCTAACAATGAAATTGAAAATTTGTTACTCGAAAATAATAGTTTAAAAGAAAGATTAGCTGAAAACATTTTTCAAATAAAACAACTACAAAATATATGTCGTATTACACCAAAATCAACACCTAAACTAAATAAAAAAAAGAAAATAGACGAGAAAGTTGATACAAATTGTCAAGAATTTAATGATACACAACACAGTATATTAGAAGAAAATGTGCAAAATAACAAAGAAAATGTATGCGAACACCATGTTACCAAACGTAAATCCAATAAAATATATATAATTGGTGGACAACAGTGTCGTGGAATGGCTTCAACATTATATCGTTCTAGAGAATTTACTAACTATGAAAATTACCAGATAACTTCAACCGTTAAACCAAATGCGCGTTGTGAAGAGATTCTGAAAAACACGGAGACATTAAATGCTGATACAAATGATAAAATTGTAGTTAGTGTCGGAGAATGTGACAGTAATCCAAGTAAATTATTTGCGGAACTCAGTTTTTTCTTAAAGTTGCATCGCAAACCAACTGTAATAGTACTTGGCATAAAAACCAATATACATCTGAATGAAAGTAAATTAAATGAATTGTTAAATATATGTTGCAAAAATTTTGATAATTGTATTTTCTTAGATTTGTATGACATCAATTATTATGACAAAAATTTTATGTATGATATGTGCCGTAAATTGAATTTTCTAATTGACACTATGTATTATGACGATAAATTTTTGGGTTACAAGAAAAAACAAGTAAAAACACTTAACAAGTCGCGCACTAATAAGAACAATAAAAAATATAAAAATGAAATTACCTACGACTTTCAACCAAGTAAGACAAACACAGAAAATGTTAGTAAAGGGAGTAAAACACATGTCAGATTAGTGCAAAAATTAATAACAAATTATTACACTCCAACATACAACAATGCAAAACCTTCTCACACTTCGATAAAAAGTCTTTTTCGTGAACAACCGTAACAACTCTTTTGCTGTTCTTCATCAGAATATAGCTGGATTGCTGGGAAAGAAAGAATTAATAGAACTTACTATAGAAGAATTATCAGAAAACAATAAAGATTTTGATATATTATGTTTTAGTGAAACATTTGTAAAAACTGGGAGTGAAGGAAATATAAACATTGCAGGATATAAACTAGCAGCAACATATTCAAGACACCACCAAAAGAGGGGTGGAGTTTGTATACTATGCTCTCATCTTATTCCAGCACAAGAATTATCCTTTTTAAATGAATTTGCTGAAAATTTTGTTTTTGAGTGTTGTGGAATTGAGATTGTATCTGGGAAATATATTATCATATGTGTTTATAGAACACCAACCTCAAATATTGTATCATTTTTTGATAAATTTAAATTACTAATGGGAAAATTGAGACATAAAACGAAACACAAAATAATTATAGTCGGCGATCTGAATATAGACGTATTAAAAAATTCAAATGAAACGACGGAATTGAAAAGAATTATAGCAAATTCTAACTTTAAATTACACATATCTAGTCCTACTCGTAAAAAGGCATGTCTAGATCAGATACTCAGTAATATACCTGAAGCAAAAAGTGAAATACATAAGTTAGGACTATCTGACCACGACACGGCACAATCTCTTACTATTGAGATGAAAGATAAAATACAGCAACCTAAGTTTTGGTATTATAAAAAAAGAGATTACAGCTTAGATAATCTCTCTAAATTTCGTAAATGCGTACATAGTTTATCATGGGCGGATGTGTATAGTGAAACCAATATGGAAACTGCATTTGCCACGTTCTATGATATCTTTAAAATATTTTATTATCTTTGTTTTCCCGTAATAAAAGTTAAAGTAAAATCGCAAGGAAACACTAAAAAGTGGATTACACGAGGCTTAAAGAAGTCTACAATTACTAAGAGACACTTACGTTTCGCTTATTATAAAAAAAGAGATAACAATGTAAAGATAAAGTACCAAAAATACTCGAAAATACTAAAAGAATGCATTAAACATTCTCAAAAACTGGCCAATACATTGTACCTTGAAAAGTCTAAAAATCCTTGTAAAGCTACATGGGATCTAATACAAAATAGAACACAAAGAAATCCTATTAATAGAAATATTGACAGACTTCTAATAAATGATAAGATAGTTGATAATCCGAATGACATTGCAAACATATTTAATAATTATTATATTGACATGGCAAATTTTAATTCAAATTGTAATTATAATATTATAAATATACAATCGAACCATGCCAGCATGTTTTTAAGACCAACAGATGAGTTTGAAGTTATTAAAATAATTAACACACTTAAATCTACAAACTCGACTGGCCACGATGAAATACAGACAAAGGTACTAAAAATGTGTAAAAATGAAATTGCTCCTGTGCTAAGCTATTTAATTAATCTGTCATTTAGCACTGGATCTTTCCCGGAACCATTAAAAATGGCTATAGTAAAACCACTTCATAAAAAAGGGAGTATTTCTGATGTGGATAATTACAGACCGATATCTCTTCTACCCAACTTTTCAAAGATATTTGAAAGAGCAATGTTAAATCAATTAATAAATTTCTTAGAAAAATTTAAATTGATAACATCGGTTCAAAATGGTTTTCTAAAAGGCAAATCGACAACATCAGCTGCTTTTTCTCTTATAAATAATGTGCTATCACATATGGATAAGCGCAATCATGTC